GATATATTTATTATACTGAATATTATTATGTGATATATATATATTATTATATTATACCGAATTGCCTGTGAGGGTGACAAAAATAAGATGTCCTGACGTGTTTGTCAAAGTGTTATTTACTGCTTTTCTTCGTGTTGGAATAAATGTTAAATATTTAACTGCAAAGTGGTAATGCGTGTTTGATACCTTACTTTTTTGCATTAAATCATACTGGGGTGTTTGCTGAAATTGATTGCTGGTCAATTTGCACACATCATTCTGTATTTTTCCAATAGCTAACAATGTCATCGGGACATTTTGCTGTTGGATAGAAGAGACCAGCCGATCTAGACAGTTGATATCATGATCAACAGCCCCAAACAACAAGTGTGCATGCGTGAGGAGTGATTGGCAGATGTATGAGAACTAAACCACGGGCTTAGGCATGCAAGAATATAGTCTTCTTGACTGAACTTGCACTAGAGCTTCATTAGAGGCATCTATTTTGTCTTTTCTCATATGATTTTGGGATGGCGCATTGGGAGAGTTTTTCCCCTGTCTCAGCTTGCTTTTTACCCCAAATATTGTATATCTATTAGAACCGTTGTCAAGCTTGTGATAGTTTGCACAAAAACAAGTTATGCTTTACTTATAAGAATATAAAATTTCCATTACAATTGACATAAGGAGGTGTGACACAGTGACCTACTTTCAGGCCAATAGGAAACGGGATATGCCGGTTAAGTCCTCCCACATACTGTATATTAGATGCAGCACATGGACCTGTCCTGTCAGAAGTCTCAGCCACAGCTATGAAGTCAGTTATTTTAACCGGTTTGCTTTTCGTCCTCCTTTGTGTCGACCACATGAGTTCAGCCAACCAGGTGAGATATTCTTGCTCCACAAAAAAATATTTAAAAATGTGAGCCACAGTAAAATTCAATAGTTTTCTGTTTAGAAAGACAGAGAACCTTTAAGAAAACATTTTTGAATTGTTTTTTTTCCAACTCTGCCATGAGAACAATAATAATGTCTGACCTTTTATTTTCCATTCTTCAACGGTCAGTCCGTGGTGGCCAGCCAGCTGATCCCCATAAATACTGCCCTGACTCCGGCGATGATGAAGGGGAAGGTGGTCAACCCAATGGGCATCCCGTTCGAGGAGATGTCCCAAATAGTGGGAAAGCAAGTGAACAGGGCAGTGGCTAAGGACGAAACCATCATGCCAAACATGATGAAAACATACCGCGCGGCAAAGTAGTTCTGAGGGTGCCAAGGAGTTTCTTCCCAAAACCAAAAGAAGAAATGCCCCCTCTCACAATTAACCTTGTTTTTGTCACAAACCCAAGTGTCAAAACCTGTGGAGGCTATGTTGAGATTTGATGTTCTGAAAAGATAAAGCCTATAAATAACATTTTGCCCAAATTTCCTGCCTGAGGTTCTTCCTTGTCTTTGCTTCATGGCTTTGCTGCTCGGATCGACTCACTCTGTGTATGCCACATTCACTTTGTACTCTCCTTCTCATGGTAGGTTTATTATTTTTAGATGTGCAGTTAGTTTCTGTGAAATAACATACCACACACTGATATTGTCTGTGCATTGACTTGGTGAGTGCACATTGTTTTTGATCTGGACATATTTATACTTGATTGATCAGGTGAACTGTGTGAATCTAAAGTGCTCCATACAGATGTTCTGCATTGAAAATATTCTCATTTTATTTGTGGAAGTGAGTGTGTGCCACATCCAATCAATTTCAGCAAACACCCCAGTATGATTTAATGCAAAAAAGTAAGGTATCAAACACGCATTACTACTTTGCAGTTAAATATTTAACATTTATTCCAACATGAAAAAAAGCAGTAAATAACACTTTGACAAACACGTCAGGACATCTTATTTTTGTCACCCTCACAGGCAATTTGGTATAATATAATAATATATATATCACATAATAATATTCAGTATAATAAATATATCATATTATAATATTTAGTATAATATAAAACACAAACACATATATGTATAATATAATATAATAACGTGTTTATTTATTGAGATGCCCCTATGGACCTTGTTATAGGAGGTAAAGATCAGGAGAAGTAAACATGAAGTGTAATTATGAATACTGATGTTAAATTAAGCTATGATGAGTTTTCACTGTTAATTTACCATCTCAATTAAATGTTGATGCCTCCATGACCAAGTTAAGCAGATGAGACTGAGGACAACTGTAGAAGAAAGGATGTTCACTTTGCTGAATATGGCTAGCTTGACAGAGTTATCTATGGATGTATATATATATTTTTATAAAATTATTTATTTATAACTATATATCCATTTCTCAGACAGGTGCTTCATATCCCTCACTCTCG